ACTTTATTCTTATCTATCTTCACTATAGTAATATTAGTCTTAAACTTTGAGCACCTATGTACCTGTTTTTTAACCTTGATTTTAGAATGTTATAATCTCAAGTAAAGGTCAAACAACCCCAGACCATTCTGAGAAAAAAGGTGATTGTGATCTCAACCCCTTTCATTTGCTAATGCCATCCCCCTGCCTGCTTGAAATGTATAAAATAAACCTCTGCTGAAGGCAGAGCAGGAAGATTTGCACCCAACTCGGACTCCCGTGTCTTCCTCTCTCCCACTCCTCTCCCCCTCTTGGAATCTCCGCACCCGGACGCCTTCCCATCTTAGGGTCCTGCCTGTGTTGCCTCCAGACACCTCAAAAGTTGGAGCTGGTCTCCAACAGGTACCCAGGTTTAGATACTTTCTCAAAGAATAAGGATAAAACTGACCTTCAAGATTATAAAAAAAAAAATTGAGAACATCATATCCTTACAAGTTACCTGCATTTCTTACATTTGTTGTTGCCTTTCATGTAAGAGACACGTATATTTCCATGTTTGCCTTTGAGAACACAGAGGTATCAAGGCAACCTTGATATGGGTTCATTAAAGACTTTCACTTAGCTCAGGAAAACATGTCTGTGTTTATAATAACAAACATAATATAGTAGATTTCGTATTTGTCCTCTTCTGGCATAAAGTTCCCACAACTCTTGGAATTTGAAGTGATGAGAGCTATGAAAGTTGGGATCTGGTCCCCAGAGGAACCAATCTTCTGATTAGATGTTTGGAACTTCCATGGGAGAGAAGGAGATTAAATTCAATATTAATGGCCACTTATGCGAATAAATCATGCCTATATAATGAAACTTCCTAAAAACAGAAAAGAAGGGATGCAGCTCCCCTGCCCCCTGTATCTATGGGGGTACTTCTTTTCATAAACTTGTCCCTTTAGGGGCAGCTCTTTCTGCCTGTTTGTGTCTTTGGAAGCACCCTTTCCTTTTTGTAAAAATAAACCTGCCCTTTTGACTACTGCACACACATACAAGAAGGGGGTTTGGAGATCTCTCCTGGTGAAGATATGAAGATTCAGGGAAAGCAATGTGCTCAAGTGGCATGAAAGCCCCAAGCCTTGATGCCGTGTCTGGCTAATCGGAGCCGAGTCGGGCGAGGGACAATGAGGTTAAAGAAAACACGGGACGCCGAGGTTCTTCATCCAGGAGTCTCTCGTTTATTTCCAGCGATCCCTTCATATACCATTAGGCAGTAGGAGTGGAAGATTAAGGCGGTAAAGGAGGAAGTAGGGAATTTCTCTTGCCACACCGCCTGCAGCTGCCAGATGCCGACACTCCCTTATGTGCTAGGGCAGAGAAAGGTCAGGTCGTCCCTGTGGCGTCTTAGGCAGATAAACACAAGTCTGTGTCATGGCTTTATCGCCCGATCACCTGGCCGCCTTGACACGCACAACAGGGGGCACATCCCCCGGAGCCCGGGGGTAATGTGCTAACTCGGCACCAACACCCTCTCCCATGTACCTTGCTCCAAGCTTCTCATACATCTTATTCTTCACTCATATCATTTTATAGTAAGCCAATAACCTAGTGAGTAAAAGTTTTCTGAGTTCCGTGAGTCACTAGTGAATTAACCAGAAAGGGTTTTGGACATTCCAATCTACAAATAGTGAGAAGCACAAGTGACAACCTGGACCTGTGATTGGCTTCTGAGGTTATTACTGATCTGCATAAGGGAATAACCACCGGCCTGCTCATCAAGAGCCCCTGACACCACGCCAGGTTTGTAAAGCAAAAAATGATATTTTATTGTCTGGCCTGACAATAGAGAAAGGGACGTCAACCCATGTTACAAAGCACTTCTCTTCCTGGACTTGGGGGAGGTGAGGCTTTGGGGCAGGTGTTTCCATGTTCTGAATAGGAAGTAAGTCACATGTGCACTTTTCAATGTACCTTTACATAGCTTGGTTGTCTCATTATTATATTAATGGGCTTAACTCAGTATTATAATGAAGAAAGTGTCACCTTTAGATTCTTTCAGTCACTCTTTCTCTGGAAGCTAATTTGGGCCAGTTCTGTCTGTTTCAGCTGTTTTAGTCACCACCATGCCCCTTTAGACAAGAAAGCATAGCTGGTTTTACTACGTACAAGTAGTACTTTTTATTATTCTAGATGCCTACAAAGTAGGTGTTTTGGGGATCATGACACCAGAGGATCCTTGGTATCTCTTGAAAAAAGACTTTCAAGAAGCCCAAGAATAAATACAGGAACACAATTTATTAGGCAGCCATAGACAGAACAATGCAAGAGGCAGTGGGCAGAGTCAGCAAAGGGGAGCGCTGTCTGAGCAGTAAAGCAGGAGGGTTTTAAAGGTTTTCATTTTTAGGTGGGGAGGGGATCCTCTTAATACTGCACACTTTGTTCCCATCACTCTCAGCTCCTCAGACTAAGTGGGGTGCCCCCTCCTGCCTACTTTTCCAATAAAGTTGGGGGAAACTACAGTTGAAAGAGCCTCCTCAGGGCTCCCAGACCAGCCAGAGCTCATATGGTCCTTGAATCCAAGCAATGACCCCAGCTGGACTGGAATTGCAGAAATGGAGCTGTGTTCCTCTGGGAGAGTGAGTGAGAGCCCTTTTATATCCCTAGCAGAGGGGACGGGCCAATCTGGTAATGCTGAACACTTAACCCGTGGGACCTGACAGTATCTCCAGATAGACAGTGTCAAAATGGAGTAGAACTGTGGGATACTCAGTTAGTGACAGATAATTGCTTGGTAGTGTGGGAAATCTCCCACACGTTGGAATTGGATCTCAGAATCTTTAATGACTAAATTACAGAATGCAGAAAACCACAGAAACAAATCAATCTGATTCATATAATGAAAATTCAGGGATATAAATGAAAACTTATCATTTCTCTTTACTTCTTGTCCTTGAAGCTGTATAAAGCAGATCATTTCATGTATATTTGAGGAAAAAAATATACCATAAAGAAATATTGGCTGAAGGTGAGTTCATTTGCATGGAAGACCTGAGGGTTGAATACAAAAGAAACTGGGCAGGAATAAAAGTGGAGGATTTCAATCAATACTGAGGCCTTCTAGGTCAAGGATGTAATGGAAGCAATCAAATCTGAGAAAGGGTTCTCTATGTGGAACAACAGCAGCAGGAGAACTTAAATGCTGTGAAGAAGCACAGAAGAAGCACAGAAGTTTCCTCAGTGTTACCCTCTTCACATCAGTTGAGGAGTCCTGCAGAAGAGAGAAGAGTGTTATTTCCACAACTAACCCTACAGCAGTTTCCTTTCTTGTCTCAGAGTTTCATGTGTTAATACTGCCATAAGAAAGGAGAAAATTCTTACGTCACTTTGAACCAAAGTTACTTTAGAGTGCAGCCCTTTAATTGGGTGGTAAGAAAAAATACTAGTGCCAGGTCAGGAGTCAGCCCCAAAGTCCTTTCTGTTATTTGTATCTTGAATCATGTCACCACTACATGCATTCTATGGAAGCTGAATATGTCACTGAAAGATGATTAAAGAGCATTCATTACCTGTTGGCTGAATTCCAGACTGTCCTGGGAAAGAGAAAGGAAGATACATGCTTAAAAGATGGAGATACAGTCTGTCCCCACATACAAAACCCCCAGCTCCCAACTCCCACCCCTCGAGGAAGTTTCTCTAGCATTACAGTGCACATTACCTGATGCCAGGGTAGAAAAGAAAGTATACCCTGAGGGCAGTGGACCCATGAAACCCTGACAAACAAACTCACTACCATTTCATCAGCTTTAGTGACACTTGCTCTGTTTGCACCAGATCTCACCCTGAGGCTTCGCTGAATGCTGACCCTTTTCTTACTTCTACAAGTCATGACCACTTGAGTTTCAATATGCTAACAATAAATTGTTGATTTCTGTAATCCAGAAAATGTGAAGTTGTTGGGGGTGGCCAGGTGGGACTAGATAAGAATGATAATAAACTGGACCCCACATCTAAGGGCAATAATTAACTGGGCCTCAAATCCAGTGGGACTAGATAAGGATGATAAGGAACTGGGCCTAGCATGGGGGCGGGGATGGGGGGTGGGCAGGTGGCACAGCGATGAGTCACCCCTTTAGAATCTGAACCTAGAATCTATATAAGAGACCCTTTTCCCCTATAGGGCTGGCAGTAGCTGCGGATCCCACCCTTGGGAGCTCCATCTCAGCTGCTGGCCCTGAGCATTCAACTTTTACTTGCTCAGCTTTTCTGCCTCTCGTCTTTCTTTCTTACAGCCAGTCACAGAAATCGGGACAAAACAGAAATCAGTTTAGAAAAGAAAGATTTTATACAAGGTCCTCATATACAGATAATTAAATTTAGCAAAGTCATATTTCCTTCCCCACAAAAGCCCAAAGGAAGTTTCAGCTATCAATTTCCTTACCTTTCTGATTCCTGAAGTGGATGAACAGCCCCACTCCAAGGAAGAGAAGACCCAGAACAAAGCCTCCTATCCCACTCAGCATCTTGCTCTGGGCAGATTCTGACTGTGCCCCTGAAAAGAAAGTTAACATGAGTGAATTTACCTCAAATCCAAATTTCCTAATATATTATGAATTTAGAACTTTGAGAAAAGGAGATAACTACCCCAGCAGCAAAACTAGAATAACTGGCCTTTCTGCAAGAAAAATTTAAAAATCAGAGCAGATATAAGATTCAGGTATTGAACTCATCCACTATCACAGCTTTGCCATGAGGTCACAACTTCAACAACTGATGGGTGCGGGTCCTGAGTCTCTAATAGGTTGAATAGCTTATTTAGGGTGATAGAGCTAGTAAAAGACCAAGTCTCAACTCCCCTTTCATCAGAGGAGATACAGAAGATTCCTCTTCTCATATCCCAAGGAATGACTCAAAACAAAAGGTAGTCTTGCCTGGGAACACTCAACACAAGGCCCACCACTTTTCTATCTCAGGTATAATTGCCTCCATTGGCAATAATAGGGACAATAGGTATTTGTAGGAACTATCACAAGGCTATCCCCAACCTGTGCTGTGGGCACAGGAGAAACCTGAAACTCAGGAATAAACAAAGTCCCCTCCTGGGTCAGGGAGAAAGACATGAGGTAGGAAAGCTTCTCACTCCACTCCACTGTGATAGGGCTCGTCAGGCTTGGGTGCTCCACATGGCAGGTGTAGACCTCTCCACTCTGAAGCATTGTTTCAAGCATCACCAGGATCTGGAAGGTCCAGTCTCCATTTTGAATCAGGCCTGTGGAAACGATACCAGCTTCCTCCTCCTGGCCATTCCGGAGCCACTTGACTTCAATTTGGCCTGGATAGAAACCATTCACAGAGCAGACCAGGAGGCTGTGGTGCTGCAGGGATGGGGCCTTGGTAGGATACACAGTCACTGTGGGCTCAACTAGGGAGAAAGGTAAGGGAAATAAGCGAGAATGATGAAATAAGAGGCCTTGGTTGGCTGCCTTTCTGCCCCCAGGCTCTTGTCCCAGGTTATGTTGCGGACAGACCTCACCCAAAGCCAACCACATTGTCCAACAAAAATTTGTGCCAAGAGCCTTAACTTTAACCTTAGAGCATTGGTGAAGCCCATTAGATTTGAGAGATGCTACAAAGGATTTTTTTTTAATAGTATAAAACAATTATTTATCTGAAGTGTTTATAAATCCTTGCAAGGCACCAGGTGTATTAACTAATAGCATGATCTATAGCCATCTTCTTGGGTTCAAAATCTAGGCTCTGGTTCTTACCAGTTGATCTTGGGAGACTTTTAATTCTGTGCCTCAGTTTTCTTCTTTATAAAGGGGAATTTAAAGGAGAACTAGGAGTCAATATATAGACATTCTTAGGGTTTTAGGAGAATTATATGGGCCTAAAATATGTAAGACAATGCCTGGAACTTTGTCTTCAATATAAGTTAAATATTTACTATCCTTGTTAACTTGGATAGAAAAACAATTTAAAGGTGTATGATGAACTGAAGAACAGCAGTGGGGTAAATGGGGATATAGAGTGTGAAATCCCAGAAATGCCACACTCACACTTTACAATGCCAACAGAAATGGCTTTACCCTGGAAGGCTCTAGTAGACAAAGTGCCTCTCACACTGTATGAGTTGAGGGCCAACAAAACCTGAGTCCTAACAGAAGAAAAGGACAATGGGGATCATTATTGGCAAGGGTGTGGGAAGAAGAAACACCTATCCATTATTGGTGGGAATGTAAACTGGTGCAGCCTCTATGGAAAATAATACAGAGGTTCCTCAAAATAAAATAAAACAAACTGGAAATAACATAAGATCCAGCAATACCACTGGTAGGAATTTACCCAAAGACTATAAAAACACTAATATGAAAGACCTATGCACTTCTGTGATTACAGTAGCATAGCCAAGGTATAGAATCAATCTAGTTGCACATCAACAGATAATCGGATAAAGAATTCTGGGATATATATTTAACTCTTAAACTCTATGGAATTTATGGTGGTTACCAGTAGGAGAGTCGTGCGGGGAGTATGTGCACTGAAGGTATACTCCCAAGGGTGAAGGTAAATCTTTCCAAGGGTGAAGGCATACTCCCAAGCATGTATTTTTGCAAACAAATGGAAAATCAATAAAAATTTTTATGGAAAAATAAAATATTATAATTACATTCAACAAAATCCTCTTCCTTTGCAAAACAAACATATCTAAATATGGATTTGTGATCCTTTTATAACTCTCTTTTTAAGATGATACTTGAGTCAGGCTAGGGCCTGGGACTCACTAATATGTGGGCTTCCCAGTGTAAAACCATTTCTGTGGGATTTCACACTCTATATCCATCTCCACCCCAATTCACCACACTGCTTTAAATTATGTTTTCTTTCCAATTTAATAGTTAACTTAATTTGAAGACAAAGTTTCAGACATTGTTTTACATATGTTAGGTCCATATAAATCTCATATAACCCTAAGAACTTATATATACTGACCCTCAGCTCTCCTTTATGCTCCCCTTTATAAAGAGAATTAAAAATTCTCCCAGGATAAGTTGGTAAGGAACAGAGCTTAGATTTTGAACCCAGGCATCATGACTAGAAAAATCATGTTATTAATACACCCAGTGCCTTGTGAGTGTTTATAAACACTTCAGATTAACAATAAGTAGCCATTTCTACTATGAATAAGAAAAACAAAACCCTTGGCATCTCTCACATCTAATGGGTCCCATCCACTCTCTAAGGTTAAAGTCCAGGTTCTTGGCACTAACTCCTGAGGTGTGAGAAACAAAGGTTAAAAACATTTTTATACTATCACACATGGCAGGATTAAGACTGGTGGTAAATAATTGCTAATTTTGCATCACATTTCATTTAATAAAAATGTTTAAATTCACATAATAAACAGAATAAAATGCAAAGCACAAACTAGAGAAAATGTTGTATCACATATGGGTAAAGCATTAATCTTATTGCATAGAGAATCCATAGAATCACTGAGAAAAAACAAAGACCCCAGAGATAATAGACAATAAAAAATGATAGATAATTCTTAGAGCAGTAACAGCAGTTAGCAAAAAAAAAAAGTTCAAGTATCTTAAAAAACAAAGAAAGAAATATAAATTAAAAATAAGGCGTTTTCAACTGGGTATTTGGCAATATTAGAATAAATCTAACAGGGATAATGTGATATTAATTGCTACACCTATAAAAAGAACTAATATATAACAACTTACATACTATTAATATTATAAAAAAATAGTTACTTCATGTTAAGTGACACAAGCTTAACTCAAAACACTGATTTCACAACCATTTCAACTTGTAAATATATATACACACACGTGTGTACATGGATACATGTGTATATACATGCATGCATGCATACATCTATGTGTGTGTGTGTGTAAGAAAATCAAAGTAAGAATTGAGACCCAAAGGAAACCTCAAAATTAACGAGTATCAGAGGTTCTCTCTCCCTCAAAAATTAATCTGAGCATTCCTGTCAGTGAGATGCTTATGCACACAAACGCAAGCCCACTATTTCAGGGGGTCAGGACTAAGGAGGGGTGTGACAGCCTCCTTACAAGGCATGAATTGTATACATTACAGTCCTCAACTCTCCTTCTTAAACTTACAACCTTAAAGACACTTTAAAGCCTGTTTTCCACATTTCTTTATTGTTTGTACAGAAAAAAAAAACCGTATTGATAGGTCGGTAGGAAGAAGCACAGGAAAACTCCCCCAGAGGATAAGGGCTCCCAGTGGGTGGGTAACCTGCGTATTGCTGTTCACCAACCAATCAGGTTTCCCACAAACCACCCTTCCAATCACTCCCCCTTTTCTCCCCCCCCTCACTATTCTCACAGCGACCACCAAGGACATATGAGACCCTCCTGCTGCACCCACTCACACTCTTACACGCACCACACACACCCCATTCTCTAGCCAGACCTGCACCGCACATTCATCTCATCTGACAGTACACCACTCACACACACACCATCCCTTTAACAACCCCAAAATGACACAATCTCCTCTCCCTCCCTCCCTC